GCACTAGAATATAAAAAGAATAATTAGAGTAAATATGTTCAAATCATAACATCTTTATATATTAGTTATTTACTCTAGATAAACTCATCACTAAATTTAATGAATGATTCAGATATTACTAAAAGTGGGTAAATTAAAAATATGGTAAAGTTCATACTATGAAAATTTATCATTAAAAAAAATCAATGTATACATAATTTTATTTAGATAGTATATTGATAAACTAAAAAATAAAATAAAAAATAGTGTAATAGTTATTGAAAAGGAAAAAGAATTAATCTCTGATTATCTTTTTCTTTTCTTTCTTTTTATTACCTATTTAATTTTTTTCTTCTTGCTGCTATTATTGTTATGAAGATCTATCATCCTATGGTGTTCATACAAGAATGTCACTCTAAAATATTATTTATCTAGGCTGTGTATGCATCACTAACAAAACTGCATATTGACCAAAAATAACTGTACTACCTATCAAAAATAAACAATTTTCTTACCATTTTTTAAGGAAAAAAAAAAAATTATAGGAGTAATTAAATAAAAATAAATGCAATGGTGCAGATTTGTTCTACACCATACATCATCATTTTGCCAATTCATTTTTTTGTAGCTATAAAATAAATAAATAAAAATTGATTTCACTTGAGTGAGCGACAACTTGGGGCTATTTTCTTCATGATTCATTCGTGGATATATCGATACAAGTAGCTGATGATTCTATTGAGAAGGATACACTTTTGCAGGGAATCTCCAAATTATCTGTTAGAAATTTTACGAAAACTGACCTTAATAAAATCGCAAGGCATGCTATGGATCTCTATCAGTTGAATCTAATTTATCAATTGCACACATTTTGGCCATATGATGCCCGGTTATATTTTCTTCACTTTTTTCTGCCTTCTGCCTTAGCTTTCCTCTTTGCTTCCCTCAAAGCTTCCCTCTTTTCTTCTCTGCAAATCGACAAACGAAGAGAAGTAAGGAAGAACACGCCTTTTTTGGTGCATGTACGCGTGTAATTCTTTCTAAACGACCATTAAAATTCTTAGTAACAAACAATGATGTTTTTTCTGGAAGCTAAAGTAAAATCTACCTGTTTTTTGCAATTTCCTCTCTGGATGGTGGTTTCCTTTTTTCTCTTTTCTTATTATTTTCGGGCGCTTTATTTTGTTCTCTTTGGCCGTTGCTGCTTTTCTTGTTCGCTTTTGCTTCAGCCTTTTTTCTCTTACGTTTTTCGCTGTCTTCTTCAACATGGTTCGCTTCATTTTTTGCTTCAAATCCAGGTGCTTCATCTTCTTCTTCTCTTGTATTTTCAGGCTGCTGTGCAGTTGTTGGCTTCTGATTACTCATTTTCTTCAGCTGCATATATGCAAATATACACATTCATAAAATTCAAGATAGGAACACGATATATGTTTGAAGACAAATTACAGAAATGTACATTCATAATTTTGAACTACAACTGTTTTATTGAAGTAAAAAAATAAACTAGATACAAGAGTCAGAAAAATAGGATGCATTGAATAATTGTCGAACTCGGTTTAAATTGATTCAACACCTTAGCTACAAAAAACCCATCCATGTTGTGAACATGGGGATAAAAGCGTCTGGTCTTGTCTAGAGATGTATGAAAACGATGCCCCCTGAATCGAATAAATCTGGTAATAGTAATATAAATAAAAAGATTTGTCAGATTACTAATGATCCAATTGTATAAAACCTTTTTTATATGGATAATCAATCATAAGCGGTTATTACCCTGAACGTCCGAAATCAAGCCCACAAGGCACAAGCTTCACGTCCCTTTTCTTGAGAGCATAATCGATAACAGCTTCATTCTGAAAACTCCCAATTTTGAGAATAAAAAATAAAATAAAAAATAGGAAGGGTTTATGGCTATAAGTAAGATTCAATAAATGTTTCAAGGTAATTACGGACCTCAGCAACCATTATAGAACATGTAGAGTA